GGTCTTCACGTCCTATAGTGGGATTCGGACCCGCGACGTAAGGATCAACTCCCTATTTCGCTACTCTAAAGCAGACGCTTTAACCTATAGAATAGAATTTCTGAATTTGATTCGTTAAACTTTAACGAGAAGCGTCCATTAATATTCGAACTAATAAAGGTAGATCATTGAACCTCATAAAACCCCTGTTCGTGCTGGATTGCATCTTTACGTCCCTACACGGCTTCAGAATTGCTCACTCTATCTGCTCTTGCCTCTTTCTCCCCGCCTTCCTCCCTGTATTGATGGTTGTTTATGTATAATTTCTCAACCTTCATCACTGCCCTTTTGTTATCCTCTTAGGCTCTCTGCGTGACCGGAAGTAATGTTTTTCAACTCTCCATGACCTCACTCGAAAACGGATCTTTAACAATGAATGTTGTGTGTGTTTATTTACACATCCTTTTCAGATATCAATTCATAAAACATCACATTCCTTTAACCACTGCTGTCACTCGACTCCTTCCCTGTTACAAGTTGAGTAAAATAGGAAGTATGAGCGAGACGTATTATTTGGAGTTTAATTTCAGCTGGGATAAATATTACTAGTTTCTTTCAAAGCAACGTTTTTTAATAGCTACTCCCCAATACAATAGTGCAACTAATCGCAGCTATCTTTGGAATACTAGAGAACTCTCTCTCGTTATGTTGTTGTACAGTAGATACATACAAGATAAAAATCGTTCCCGGTGTTTGGGTTCACCCTATGCAAAACAATGTATTCTTTAATTTTGTTCACCGGAGGACTTTCCGCACATTTTATCCTTCTGATAGCATTGCAAATGTACCTATTTATCTGTCGTCCATTTAGCCAGCTATTGACAACCAGATTGCGCCGAATATCTGTTTTAATTATATTTTTTATCTCATTTGGTTACTTACTTCCATCATTGAAATTGGCTGGACGAGAATTGATTTCGAACGAGTTAATTTCTTCCCAGCAAGTCGTTAGATGTAGGTCTTATGATTTTAGTTTCAAAGGAGATCAAGTGGTAATTTCGTACATAGGAATTTTACTCTTGGTTGTCTTATCAAACATTTGTATTACATCTGCCCTCTACATCCCCGTGATAAGAGCTATGTATAGAACACTTTCACCTGCAAGAACAAAAACTTGCAATCATCGAGATTGCAATGGCAGCTCCCGTTCCGTAGATATTGAAAATATTGATAGGGAGGAACGCCCTGAACAAGATGTAAGAGAAAATAACGATGAACATTGCAACAATTCAAAAATTGTCAGGAAACGGAAGTTGAAAGCGAAACAGAGAGTTACCGTCATGTTTCTCGTCATCATTATTGTTTACGTAGTTTCGTATTTGACGTCAATCGTTACACAAATTTACGCCTTTGCAGAGACACACCTCCCAACCTTATTAATATTCAGGGTCATGAACCCAAGGGAGCATTCATTGCATCAGATATTTTCTTTAAACAAGGAAAGACAACTCAAGATTTTTTTTTAATTGTATAGTCAGTTTCTTTTATCAATTTATATATATTTAAATAGTGATAAGATTGGGACAAAAAAAAAGAAAAAAAATATTGTGAGATATATGTTTTATTTCATCAAGATCACTTCTGGTCAATTTTTATGTTGAATAAGTAAAACATTAACACACAGTGTATTTTCAGTATGAAATACTGCATAGGTATATGAACATGTTCACTAAATTTCTGTTTAATAAATACAGGTAAATTGATTTTCAAGTATACCCGATTTCACATAAGCTACATATCTGCAGCTGCTAGTACATGCAAATATTTCTGGGAGGTATCTATCTACATAATTATATTCAATTATTAATTTTTTCTGTTAACTGAATTCAACAAAAATAATTTAAACTGCTATGTACACCATTTATATATTATGACGCATATTGAAAAAAAGACAAAGTAAACAAACAGCATGCAATCATGTTTGTATTTACAAGAAATTTACTAAGCACTACATGTAGACAGACAATAGAATGTTCAACAACAAATAAGTTGTATATTACAAGCATATGTTATAATAAAGATTATGCTGTTTAAAAATGAAGTAAAAATTTATAAATCTATATTTAGATACCCTTCACAAGATCTCCAAATTTTGACAATTTTTAATAAACAAAATTAAGTGCACATGTACATTCTAAATATTTTTTTTTCATACTCAAAAAAATTAAAGTTCCATTTTTTAAAGATAATCAACCTTATAATAAAATTCAGAATAAAAATGTTCAAGTGTTTCTTTTTTTTACTGATCCGGTTTAAAATACATATGTATTACAATATGTAATTCATATAGTTTAAGCATGCAATACCAGTGAGAGCTACATGTAGCTATTACCTCCCTTTTTTACAAACATTTTCTATACTGTGATTGAATTAAAAACATCAGTTTTAAGTTAAAAATCTTATCTTATTATTTTATAACCTATGAAGTCACCTGCATGGCACAGTGGCAAGAGCGTCTGCTGGAGAGTCATGAGTAAGGAGTTGATCCTTAAATTGCTGGTTCGAAATCCCACAGTCGGACATAGAGATGAGACTGTATATACAGAAGTCCTGTTTTGCAGTAGGTGCTAGCACCAAAAAGATCCCCCATTGCTCAATTAGCCATGTGTACCAAGTAAAGGACAAAATTTGCAGCTCTCCACTGGCAAATGTTGGCATCCCCATATGAGTGAAAAATTCTCAAGAAGAATGTTAAACAACATACAAATAAACTATAGAGTCTTTGAATATGCAAATTCTTTTTTTCCGAGAAAGAGATCCTCAAATGATGTTTAGATATGGTTCATAAGAGTAGAAAAGTACTGCAAATCCCAGCTAGTCTTCATGAATTCAGTAACCATTTGTTATATGGTCTGAAAAATATAAAATGTTAATGCATTAACATGAAAGTATATGATTGATATTTTTATAATTCATCATAAATTAATTGAATCAATAAAATAAAGTCACACTTGTTATCTTGAAATGCTTATGGGACTGATGAAAAAAAACTGATATATCCAAGAGATTCAGGGTAAGATATATAGAAAAAAATGCCGTTCAAGGGACTTTAAAATGACTTTGATATCTCAATGTGTTCAAGATATCACTCAGTGTCAAAGATATATACCAAATTTCAACTCTAAACAGGGTATATAAAATTCATTTACATGTATGCCATTTACAGTTGCTATAGTAATTCAATCTACCATTGTTCATTAATAATCTGCATGAGAAAGAGATATGAGCAAAATGAGCAAATTAAATTACAAAAGTAAATCATATATATGCAATTCCATGTGTTTGCAAATCATTCATCCAATTTGTAATACTGTCATGAACGTCAACATACCCTAGTAATCAAAGTTGTTTGATTTTAAGATACTGTTGTTTAACTATACTTATTCAGATGGCACTGTATTCATTTTAATCTCTACTTAACTTACAAGAGGCCCATGGGCCACATCGCTCACCTGAGCACTAAGGGTAGGAAAAAGTAGAAAATGGCTTTTTATTGTAAAGTTTAAATCCAAAAGTAGTCCCATGACCAATCATGGATTTGCTATTTTTTAGAAAATGATTTTTTAAGAATTTTCCTATATACATCTTTAAAAACTTTGGTCAGCCAATTTGGCCACGCCCTACCCCCAGGGGTCATGATTTGAACAAACGTGGATTTACACTTCCTGAGCATGTTTCCATATAAATATGATCAATTACCGCTTTGTCATTCTTGGGGAGAAGATTTTAAAAGAATTTTCCTATATATTTCTATGTAAAACTTTGGTCGGCCATTTTGGCCCCGCCCTACCCCCGGGGGTCATGATTTGAACAAACTTGAATCTACACTACCTGAGGATGTTTCCCCATAAGTTTCATCTTTCCTGGCACAGTGGTTCTAGAAGAAGATTTTTAAAATATGCCACCAAATTTTCATTAATTCCCAATTATCTCCCCTTGAAAGGGCCAAACTTGAATCCCCTTCACCCAAGGATACTTTGTGGTAAGTTTGGTTGAAATTGGCCCAGCGGTTCTTGAGAAGAATTCGAAAATGTGAAAAGTTTACAGACAGACGGACAGATGGACAGACAGACGGACGCCAGACAAAATGTGATCAGAAAAGCTCACTTGAGCTTTCAGCTCAGGTGAGCTAAAAAGCCAAGAAATAAACAAAATGATTTTTCAATATTTACATAGGACTTTCAAGATATAAAACATTCTGTTTCTAATTATGGCACATCCATTACCCTTGATTCTGGGATTCTGTACTAGGATGTATTCGTTCAATAAATATGATGTATCGTGGCCCTGATAATCTTGAATAGATTTCATAATAAAAGGCTTCAGCCTTAAATATTCCAGAATAAAACTTTGATCCCCCACTGTGGACCCCCCTACCCTATAGCTATATGATCTGAACAAATCTAAATCTGCTCTTAACTATCTCAGAGTGACTAATCATGACCTGCCTATTCTTGAAAAGAATTATGATTTAAATTTTTGTCTACAGATTACTATTGTTCTCTCTATTTTATTGCTGTTCTCTATTTACATCAATAACATATCATCACCAGTAATCAACATACCTTCTCTTTGGACTTGACATCCTTTCCTTAGATTCTCGTGGTTGAAGCTTTCATCAGATAATTTGTTTGTTACAGCTGAACTACAAATATGATTAATAAGTTAATACAATCCTCTAAATTTAATTAATCCAAATAACATACAAGCATTTGCAATTATGTGGAAAAAAAACTGAATGAAAAATGCTGCAAAATAATCAATGCACTACATGCAAATCAGAAAAATATGTAATGCAATTATTTACAGTTTGCATAATATGCTGATGTATGTATCAGCATCATTTTCAGTTCATTAAATTGTTTGCTGAAACAGACAACCAACTGTATTTATACATTCTCTTTTAATGGATTGGATTTTCTTCTGCCTTTGAACTTACATGTACTGTTATGCAGCATGATGTGAGAATTTTTTCAACCATTCTTTATCATTGAAGTAATTCTGCTGAAAATAAACAGAATGTGATTAAATCTTTTGAGAATTAAACAAAAACAAAAATACTGATGCATGATTTTCAATTATATTGACCCTTTTATCAACATATCTCTCTCTCTCTCTCTCTCTCTCTCTCTCTAACTACATATAACTTTACACAGGATTCTTTTATACATTGATATACATGACATTGTACATGTAGATATTGGAGTAACTGGGCATGCTTAATATTTTTTCTTTGTTTATTCCAATCAGCATGATCAGGATGATAATAATTAAATAATAATGTTGCCTGCTATAAATGATATAAATTTATCCTTTCAATTACATATACAATACTCACAACAGTCAAACCTTGAACTTGCACATCACTGTCTTCAGAGTATATCCTGCAAGAAACATTCATTGCACATTATAATTGAATTGATTTGATTTTCTTTTTTATATTTGCTTTTTTTGTTTTCTTTTAATGAAATTATATTTTCTGTGCATTTAATACAGCATCATACACATACATATTGAAGACCATTTTTAAATTCAGTCAACAATGTCATATTCTTCAAAAGAAAAGACATACATTGTATACATGTAAACATCACCCAAATGAAAAAAAGGGGGAAACAAAATACTATAACAAACTACTTACAAAACACTGTGTCTTGAAAGTATTCCGATAGTATAGCAAATCACATGCAAATGAGCTAACAAAACACTATAACAAATTACTTTGAAAACACTCTAACAAACTACTTATGAAACACTCTAACAAACTATACTTACAAAACACTGTGTTTTGAAAGTATTCTCGATGTATAGCAAATCACATGCAAATGAGGCTAACAAAACACTCTAACAAACTACTAACAAATCATAAGTAACAATTCATCAATAAACCACTAAATTTGAATTTTAAAATATATAATCCACATGCAAGTCTTTGAAAACATCTAAACACAACCTAAACACAATCTCATTTTGATACATTATAAACACTTCTTGTTTCACAGTATTTTGAATTCAAGGATTGACTTTTCCAATCACATACATTTTCACAGAATTTTCAAGTATTATAATTAATTCATATCACTTAATCCAAAGCTTAAAACTGATCTAAGCTAGCTAGTTTATGGATTAAAGGACAATCTTAAAATAAATCAAAACCCAATAAAAACAGGCCATATATATATATACACATCCACATTCACAGATTATACTGTACTCCAGTAAAAAAGAATTATAACTTTATGACATGCAATAATAAATACCTCTTTTATATCCAGATTCATCCTGATTTTGCTTTTTCCAATCAGGGAATAATAATATTATCTAAAACTGTGCATGTCCCTTCACCAATCTCTTTGTTTCTCTCTGACCTATAGTGCTGGTGGTTTGAAAATTGGCGCAAATACTAGTCTAACACAGGATGTAAAAAGATAAGTTGTTCTTGGAAGCTTTTAATTTCTTAGATAATTCAACCCTAAACATGTCTGTTAATCAAATGAAATGCTAACAAAATATTACTTGGATGCACACAAGTGTAACGAAATACTTTCAAAATGCAATTTCATTCTGCAGAGTGTAAAGAAACATTAATAAACCAACATTGTAATGAAACATTAACAAAATACCATGCCATCCCAGTCCTATAAAGTGTTGCATTGATGTTTTTGTTTTAATGAAACACTTTCAAAACGTACAAACAAAATACAAAAGTATGTTTTGGTAGGGTTTTGAAGATATTTTAAAAGTATTTTGTTAGATTTCTTTTTCATTTGGGTCAGCAAAGCCCATATTTTAAAAAAGGAAAAAAAATATTTTTTCTTGTGTGTACAATTTGTGTGGGATGGTGCATATCATTAAAAAAAACAAACAACAAAAAAGGACGGAATGTCTCGATAGCTGACTTTACAATGCAAGGCTAAAAAAATTAATAGAAGGCCCATGTGACTGGGATCAGTGATTTTTTTTTTATCTAGGCTAGTACATGGTAGGGGGCATCTGTCTTTTGGGTCAGGTCTATGTATAACAAAATACAATTATAGTTGGGCTGGTAACTTGACAGGCTTGTTTCAAAGTTCTGTCATTTCGTTATTATGGTTTTGGGTCAGTCTCTTTTTATTAAAATCTAGTAGCCAGTGGGATATAGTAATATTATGATGAGCTGACCAGTAAAAAGCCTGAGTGAGCAGTTAAAGAAAACTATTTCCAGCCTGGGCCTACAATGATTTCACATTTGTGCTTCATGATATACATTTTCTAAATTCAATAATGTTTGTTTCTTACCTCATTGGGTCAATTGTGTTATTTTTGTCATACCTGCAGATGGCTGTTCAAAATGTACTCTAACCTGCAATAGACAAACAAAAAAGAAAATAACTTTTCATTTAACACATTGAAATAATTGAACAATATGTAAATAAAATACCTGTATTCTTACAAACAAAAATGCAAAACATCAATGTAAATTATCTTAAACAATATCTTTTCATTACACAGATTGATGCATGAATGCATGTAATTTATTATACCCCCTGCTTGATTAGCGGGAGGATATATTAAGTAATCGGTATGTCCGTCCGTCTGTTATGCTTTGGTGTACCCATCTCTTATCTGCTAATTCCTCTCATACCACTGAGTGATATTTGATGACTTTCACAGAATCTATATTACATATTGCAATTGTGCATCTTCTATTTTAATTTTTGATCCGCCACATATTTGGGGTTTCCCATAGCAAAACATGGACACAGTCATTATATTCATATGAGAAGCGATGGGTATCATTTAGTGTCAGAGCTCATTGCTCACAGTACCTCTAGTTTTATAATATTCATACTGTATTTCAGTAGCTACTTTTAGATGGGCAATACTTTAAAAGGGAAAATAGTGGTACACATAGAAATATTCAAAAATTTTCATAAACTGCATGTGTGATTGATTGATTGTATGTTGTTATAATGTCCCTCTTGAGAATTTTTCACTCATATGGAGATGCCACCACTTGCCGGTGGAGGGCTACAAATTTTGTCCTATGCTCAGCACTGAGGGCCTTTGAGCAGGGAGGGATCATTTTTGTGCCAGCACCTACAGCGACACGGGGCCTCGGTTTATATGGTCTCATCCGAAGGACCGGTCTCCACGTCCCACAGTGGGAATTGAACTTGCGACGTAAGGATTGACTCCTTACTTCCCGACTCTAGAGCAGACGCTCTAATCACTGCGCAACGCAGGCGACAACTGCATATGTGAAGTTTCATACCTGATATATACACAAGTATGTGAGAACTGCATTGACATCATCTGATCATAAATTCTATGATATTAAATTACTAAATTAGAAAATATTTCAGTAGCTAGTAACGACCATATTTTGATCAGTAGGCTATAGTGAAAACTGCATGATTGATATAAACAGCTGACACTATTGAAACTGCAAACAAATGTAAACAAACCTTTAATCCTTTATCCAGGTACACATGGATATGTGTAGAGGAAATTCGGAAGAACTTCTTGTGCATAAACACGAGTACGGATAGAATTAAATTTAGTCTCTTGGTATTTGAAAAAACACATATGGTTCTCACAAATCACTGGGTATTGATAAGTAAGAATAACGACTTTTATACGCGTAACTCTGCATATGCATGCATAGTAGACTACCTTACAAGTAGGAACGAACTATAAGCACACCTGCAATTTCTCTTCAATTTAAAACATGCTATTAATAACATTTGACAAACATGTCCTAAAATATTTAGCCATTTTGTGCTACAGGTAATCTAAAAAATAAATGAAATTCTACTTACGAGTGTTTTTGTTTACTAAATCAATGTATGTGGGTTAATCTTGACCGACATAAACTACTCCCTTCCACGTGGAAACATGTTTACAAAATCGAGAGGTGCTGTTTTGACACTTTAAAGTGCAATAGCACTTGACATAATAAGAAACTGCAAATCTACTTTCACTTTTCAGGTAAAGTAACGTTTGTTTTTCAACTTTTTGCAATTTACAAATCTTATAAATCGAGATAACATAAAGTTTTACCTCTTTTTTCATGTTGAATTTCTCTCTCGATTTTCACCTCTAGCATGTTGGTCTCGCTGAATTCTCGCGAGGAAAGCTGTTCGGACGTTTACGGATTTTGTTCATATTTTATTATGTTTATCTCCGAATTCTTCCGATTTATGCTAATGAGGTTAGGAGGTGTGAGAGAGCAGTGTTAAGGATCTTGAGGAATATAAGCTTAATATTTTATTCTTTTGTCTCCTTTTAACATCATGAATCATATTGCTAATCCATATATTTACTGGATTTTTGACATCAAATTTAGACAGGAACTGAGAAAGCTGTGTCGCTGTTGTAGCTTCAAACCCTGGATTTTCGCGGCGAACTGATGACCATTGTTGTTATATTTTTTGTCAAGTTGAGTTTCCTACTAAAAGAAAGTGATGTTCCTTACAATTTGTACATGGCATTGTGTAAAATAAATATCTTCAGTTTCAGTGCAGAATATATATTAGATTATGTTCTGAGTAACTGAAATTATGTTTTTATTCTGTTTAAATTCCCTTTGAATACTAGTTTCATTTAATATTTGAGAAAATTTGAAAGAAATTGCCAAACTAAATTGCCCTATCGCAAGGGCATACACATAATAATATATTTTTTTGCATGAAGATAAGGGATATTTTCCTTAACTTGAAAAATGCTGCTGCTTTCTTTAAATCGAGAGTGTGACTTTATAAGTACACAAAATACTTCGTAAAGGTCAAACATATTTCGAAATGAGTCCATTTACATAAAATGTTTACCAATAAAAAGCGACTTATATTTAAAAAGCAGCACTTTCTAGAAAGTACAAAGTATGCAGATACAAATGATAACTTAGAGTTTTAATTTCAAGTAAGTTATGCCCTTCCGATATTGAAAATTGTTTATGACACCCATTCAATACACATACTATGCGTTTTTCACGTGACTGACCATTGATGGTACCAATCTTAATTCAGTACATAGTAGGGTATATTATGTTATTTCAATAAGTATTTTAGTTTTGTGAGAAAAAAATGGCTTTGTAGAAATAAATTCAGTTCTAAAAAAGTTTCCGTTTCTGCACGTCTATATTCCATTGAATTCTCATAGTAAGCCTTAACAGTGCTGCGTAAGAAGCTTAATTCATGGTCATTATATCCCAAAAAGAGGTACCACACATAACAGTCAATCAGGACCAACTGTTTCTATCAGGATTTTTTAAGAATGAAGTATTGATCTATATATTTGAATAATTATGTCTTATGGGTGAAAAAAAGTACATTGGGACTTGACAAATAGACTTAAGTTAAAACAACATATCTTCAATAAACGTGAGTTCTTTTTTAATAACTGAGATTAGAAGTGGTCATTGAGCATCTCCGTGAAATAAATCCGGTTTTATGATGTAATTTATTGTTTCAATTGAATGCTTTGTCACGAATATTATTAATTATGTAGACACTTAGCGGGGTGATACGGAGATAAGTGGGGTCCTTGAAAATAATAATATTTGACGAGGCCTCATACCATTCTAAGTGTCTACATAACAAATTTTCCCCGTCAAAGATTTCTGAATAAAGTTCATTTTTTCTGAGTTAGCAAATCGTTCCGGAACAATTGTTTAATTGTTTATATTGTGACGTCGTCTTTTATGTTTATATGGCGACAGATATAAGGCTCTTTCAAATGAAAACAAGGTATTGATTATGATTTGTACAGCATAACACGTGGAGCGGGCATACAGATTTGGTGTGTGGTGGGAAGGTCACGTGGAGGGGCATATTAGCAGTTCATTTCCAGAATCAATTGTACAATAAAAAATATACTTGATGTCCTAAAATCATGCAAAGCATTTATTCCTAAATAAAGAGATTTCTTTTCAATTATAGCTATGAACCATAAATGATCAAAACAAATTTCATAAGAGGAAGAGCATGAATAAAAACAGTGGTATACTTGATATATTACTTCAATGTTGCATTGGTGTTAATCTTTAGAAACATTGTTACAAAAAAAATTGAAAATGAACTGCTTATTGTTGACATCAAAAATATGAAAGTTTGTTAAAGTTTTTGTTTATTCAAAATGGTATTTTTAATTCAATACATTAATAAGTATTTAAAAGTTTGTACGAAATTAAAAAAAAATAATATCCATTTAACAATAGAATACTTTGTTTGGTAGTGGATTTGGCAGTGGTGTTAACAGTGAAAAAGATGATTTCTTCCTTTGTATCATCATTTCTCTCCAAAAAACGGTAAACTGCAATTTATTTTTAACTCATCCCAAAAATACAGATTTAAGAGTAATTCCAAGGGATAATAAGCAAGTTTCGTCAACTTTCAGTGGCATTTTGTTTGCTTTCTATAATATCGCTAATTTTCGTAGAATGTTTTATTTTCGTCGTTTTAGAGGTATGGAGAAACCAGTTCTCGCCGTTTATAGAATGTTTTTGAAGTTAATGGAATTGGAAGACGTTTGTTTTTATATTTGAGCAATACTTTGACTCTTTGGCTTCCAACAAAACATATATTTGTCTAAATATTATGCAAGCTTATATATTGCTCCAACACCAAAAAGTGTATTCTACAGATATTTATATCTCTTATTTCAAATTATTCATGAAAAGGGGTGATAATAGATTAAATCCGATTATGTCATGATTATTTTGTCGGTCTTGTTGTTTTTACAATTTGAAAAAGATGTGCTTTTTGCTTATCTAGGAAGGAATTTAACTTTTAATAAAGCCTTTACACGCCAATGTGTATGTGTGTGTTTATAAACATCTTATTCATATATTATATACCATAAAACATCACGTGTTTCCTTTATTAATTTTTTTTCTAACTTTTACTACCAGCTTTCATTTCTATTACAAAACGTAGAGTAAACGACTAAATATGAACAAAGTGTATTCTTTATCATTCAATTTCAGTCGGGTCGAGAATTACAAGTTTCTGTCCAATCAGTATGCGGAAGAATTACTGCCCAATACAATAGTGCAACTGATTGCAGCTGTCTGTGGAATATTAGGAAACATTCCAGTCCTCTTGATGTACGGTAAATACATAGAAGACAAAACTCGTTCCAGATATTTCATTCCAGTTCTAGCTTTTGTGGACCTTGTTGGATGTGTTTCGAATGCAGTCCATTTCTACCTGCAGAACACTATGTCTTATAATTACCCTGGTGTTCAATTGTGTAAAACATTGTATTTTTTAAACTTCTTTACCGGGGGATTTCCCGCTCAATTAATCCTTGTGATAGCACTGCAGAGGTACCTCTTCATCTGCCGTCCATTTGGCCAACAAATGACAAAGACATTGTGCAGAATATCTCTTTTATTTATATTTCTGACCTCATTTGGACATTCTGTTCCATCATTGACATTAGTTGGAAAAGAATTTCAACGGAATAGAAACGCATATAATATCTCTCAGCATTTTGTTCGCTGTGAAATTGTTGATTTTAGTACGAAAGGAGTTAAAGAGATGATTTCGTACTTAGGAATAACACTTCTGTTAAGCTTAGCTATTATTTGTGTTACCTCTGCGCTCTACATTCCTGTAATAAGAGCTATGTATAGAACACTATCGCCTGCAGAACCAAGTAATCATAAAGATCGATATAACGATACCAGTACCCGGTCTGCAGAAAGACGCATCCCTGATGCTGAGAAAAACGTTACGGAGAAGTTTCCAAAAACATATGTGAGAAACAGCAACTACTCAATTGTCGACAGGAACCGGAAATTGAAAGCGAGACAGAGAATTACTGTCATGTTTCTCGTCATCATTATTGTTTACGTAGTTTCGTATCTGACGTCACTGGGTACCCACATCTTCATTTTTATAGAAAGCAGAGCACTAACATTTACAGGTTATAAGTTAAATATATTATACATGTGTCTCCGTCTTAATCTTTTGAACCATATTGCTAATCCATACATTTACTGGATTTTTGACATCAAATTCAGAGAGGAACTGCGAAGGTTGTGCTGGCGTTAATTTAGATATTTTAGTTTTTGGATTTAAAACTGACCTCGTGCGTTAAATTAATTTGTGTCATTGTACATATCCTACAAAACCTAAAGGATGGTTCTTACTATTATTACATTAACATTTGCAAATATATATTTGATTAGTTTTCCGTTCAGAATTTTAAAAAATGAGTAACAGAAATTATGCTTTTTTCTTTAAACTCTATTTGAAATTAATTTGATATTTAATCAAACGTAAAAGGCCACACATGCGCTGATTTATCTTAAACCTTGTTCCTCCATTTTCGGTAGAACGAAATGAACCTTTGTACTATTAATAGTATTATTGACAACTTGTATAATATGTTTTGTATTTAAGAGATAAAGATGCATTGTTTATGCACTAATAAAGTTACTTGTTTAGAGAGATGGTGTTTTGTGACCTCTACAGGACGTGGTATACAGCTTTATTAAGTTTTAAGGTCAAGCGGAAGCATCTGTTACCTTTCATAACCACGGTACTTAAAATATATAGTTACACTGTATATATAATGCTGATACCAGGAAAGAGTAGGAGGTTTATGTCAAACTTAGTAGCATAAATTTTAAGTGTGTCACGTTAAGTTAAAAATTGATGGGTTGAATGTAAAAGAAGGGGACGCTCGAGTAAGGTTATATACTGAGATTTTTATTTTGGTTACTAGTACTCTTGCGTTCAAGTGTAAAAATGTATCATGGTCCATCGGGTATATGTTATTCCAATATATCGGAATCCAATATATAAAGCTGTATAATATCCTTTCCATGATCCTCTAATACATCTGCGTAAAAAGATATTGCAGTGTCACTTTACTAGTGACCGTTCGGAACCAATTGTATGAAATCAATTTAAAGAAAAATATCATTTCCAAGTAAATGGTCTTTTAAAAAGGTGCAATACAAAATTTTATTCAGTTGTTTTTGTTGTCCCCCTGTCAGTCCCTGACATTTTCCTGTCTCTCCCTGACTTTCTCCTATGATCCCCTGTCGTTATCCCTGCTCTCCCTGTCCAGTCCCTGTCGTCCCCTGTCATTGTCCCTGCCTTCCCTGTCTACTCCCTGACGTCCCCTGACGTTCTCTGATCTCCCTGTCCAGTCCCTGTCGTCCCCTGTCGTTGTCCCTGCCTTCTCTGTCTACTCCCTGTCGTCCCCTGACATTTATTTTGGCCAAGA